AATAAAATTTTCCGAGATCTTTTATGCAGAAATGCTTAATTGACATTTTTCCGAGATCTTTTCTGTCTTTATTTCCTTCCGAGATCCATTCTGCTAATTTTCCGAGATCTTTTATTTTCACGTCCATGTCAAAAGCTCACACTCATTCCAATCAATTTTCTATATGCTCTCATATTCTCTAGAAAACATATTAATTATTATAAATCACAATCAAGTAAACAATATTAAGATTTTTAATTGGAAAAGAAAAGGTTATAGAAAGCTGAATATCAAATTTTCTAATTTGATGAGAACAGTGTTGTAGACGGTATGATCCTATTTATCAAACTTCGTACTTCAACATACAACTCCTTTTTTCTTTCAAATTTTGAAGAGATTTTACTGCTATATTACGGCTGACATGAGAATCGCTTTTGCCTTGTTAAATTAAATATTTTTAACACTTTCTAGAGTATATGTCATTGACGAAATCAATTATTTATCTTGTTAAATAGAGTACAAATGTGCGATAGAAAAAAAAAATAGTAACAGTTTATCAAAAAGTTATACAAATGAAGTCATAATGAATTTGTGTAAAAAAAATATACATTTGTTTATATCATTTGCTAACTTGACTTTGACTAAAAGTGGATGTTGATCGTATATAGTCACTAATCTTCATTAATAACATTCATCATACTGATTCACTTCCTTCCATGATTGAACATTGAAATGAATCTCAAAAACTGTGATAAATATGTGACTAGTAATCCTTAGCTTTTTAGTCAATAGAAAAATTATTTAATTACAGAATATTTAAGTTCATAATTTCATAGTATTATCATCAATACTTATGAGATGTAATGAATTTGAGTTTGTATTATCTGAATTTTCTTTAGTCATTATCTCTTCTTCTTCTTCTTCTTCAACGTCACATGACATTTCAAACAATGACAATGATCTTGAACAAGATACAAATGATAATTGAAGTTTAATTTTCTCATTATTACAAATAATTGTTTCTATACAAGTATCATTCCCATTAATCATTGATACTTTTAAAAATTGTTGATTCATTTCATTAAGTAATAAAAAATATATTGTATTATTATCGTTTGATGATAATGTTAAAATATCAAAAATTCGATAATAATTTCCATTAGAATCTTCTAATAATAAATGAAATGGTAAATTAATAATTAATAATGGTAAAATATTTTTTGAAAAATAATTATTTATATAAAGTACAGTTAACTGTTGACTTATTTCATTAAAGAAGAGTAAATATAATTTATTAATTGATAGAATAAAATCAGTAAAATATCCATAATTATTTATTTTCAATTTATTCACTTGTCGATTTTCAAGATTATTAAACCATTTCATTGAATTATACTCTACTTGATAATGAAATATACCATTTGTTGTTTTAATTTCAATTAATTTATCATTAATTTTATCTATATTTGTAATAAAAGATGATTTATTATTACTAATTAATTCATAAATATTTTCAATACCATCATTTAAAAATGTAATTATAGAAAATATATTATTAAATATAAATATTGATGAATTTTCAATATCATAAGCTAAAAATGATATTTTATTATTATTTATAATTTGAAATGAATGAACAAGATATTTCAATTTTGACATATGAAATTGTTGACAAATAAATAATTGTTTATTAATTATATTTTTTTCAATTATAATATTGTATAATAAATCATGTTTTCCTTTTACATATAAATCTAATGAATTTTCATTAATAATAGTTAAATTACGTACAATAAAAACATCATCTTTTTCATCTGGAATTATTATTAGATAATAATATTCATAATCTTTTTCTAATATAATCAAACGATTGTTATACTCTTGTAATTCATGAACATGATATTCATCTTTATTTTGTATCCATATTCTTGAATCATACATTAAACGTATGAGATAAAATTTATTAGTATCATAATTTTTTAAATAGAGAGATTGTTGATTTGTTTGAATATTAGTTGTTGATGTTAATGTTCCACACCATGTTTCAGATTTTAATAGAAAATGTATTTGATTTAAACAAGAATAAAAAGCACAGATATTATGATTCTGATTCATTTCATCTACAATCAAATTCAATTCAATTGGATTTTGATTTATCTCAAAAAAGACAATCTTTTGTTCAGCTCTTTCATATGTCTGCGTAAAATTTGATTTAACTTTCGATATTGTTTGACAACAGAGATCTTGAACATTCATGACTAACTTGGAATCAGTAGCATTTATCATCACACTTTTGCGACTTAAATCCTTATGATTACTACTAAAATACAAGAAAAATGGTACTCTAAACCTTCAATGACAACCTGATATGAGTACAAAAAAGTTACAGCAGTGCTATGGATACAATTTATCTTTACTAAACGTAAGTTGAAACAAAAAGCCTAATTCAAACTTTCGATGAGCATTTCACATCATTTTCTGATGTACAATAATCAGCTATAGTTAGTTATTTTCTCTATTCTTCCTTCTTTCGTCTCTTCCATCGTATAACAGTAGGTATCAAGTTCGGAGAATTTTTAAAATTTTTTAAAATTCTCAGAATTCGGTCCATCCAAGCATCGATACTGTTTAGAATTCTTGACAAATGCTAGCAGAATTCTACCAGAAGAAATTCCCTGTCATTAACAAATTCTGCTAGAATCACAGTAGAAGTGAGCAGATTTTGTAGAGAGAACATTTTATTTTACAATAGTAGTGTTTATCAATTCTTACAAATTGGGAGATTGTGCTAAATTCTGCTTGTTTCGAAGAGAAAGTTGAAAAACAAACATTTTCCAGCTGTATCTAACATCCATTATTTCAGTTGCCGATGGATCACAATGGTTTATCTTGTTCACATGAGAACAGTTTAGAGAAACAGAAGAATGTTTTTTTATGTATTTTTCACTGAATAACGCTTTGCTTTATAAAAAAATATTCTATGTAGTAATTTAGAGAGCTAATTGTTGTTATGGGAAAAACGGAAGAAATTAAAGAGAAAGTTCTGCTTCTTTGGCATCTTCACACATTCACGCGGTAATGGACAATCAAAATTATCATTACATTCAAAACGAAGCTCAGAAAAGAGAGAAAGAACCGAACACAATGTGAAATAAATAGTCCTCGCTGAATGAGAAGAGAAAAAATATCTTCTCATAGCACAATTTTCCTATACCACGTGGACATGGGGTGTTTTTGGTCAAAAATGATTTTTTTCTTCTTGAAACAGTATTTTTTCTTGAAAGAGTTTCTAACGAGGGAACATCTTCACGTGATAACCTCTAATTTCAATAATCTTTTGCCGATAGATAGAGGATAGTGTCCTAGTATATTGCTTCTAAAAAATTGACTCGAATACAGTGTATTGGCTCTCGAATACAATGATATTTTTCTCATCGAAAAACATTTTTAGAAAACATTACATTACATGTATTACTTTTCCTTAAGGGCTCCCCACCCCTCAAAAAAAGCATTTTTCGACAAAAAAATCGATTTGGGCATTTATGCATAGTTGTATAGCCCAATATATCTGCTTTCGAATGCACTATGATTTATTGGTTTTACGATGGTTTTTGAGG